GTCCCAAATTTCTTTATTCCTATGTTTAGATTGTATGAAGTGACGCAATTAGATTCTATTTTCATATATGAAACGAAGTTGAACTTACAAAGTAAAAATTTAAAATTTTTCCACATTATTATTCTATGATACATTTTATGATGAATGCTAAATGCTTGTCTAATTCCTCTTTGAGGACGAAGATGTTGGTAACATCTATGGGGTGCTCCCCAGTCGTTACATCTACCTAGTATCCAACATATCATGTTTCAAGGTGAGCTATTAATTCAAGTTCTTGTTGGATTCTTTCTGTAATTGCATCATGTTTTTTTTCCAGGTGTACTACTTTATTCTTTTATTATGATGTATTTGATATTCTTAGACTTAGTATTTCGAAATTAGATGTTCTTGATATGATGACTTTCAGATTTGGGGAATGACATATAATTGATTTTGACGGGTTTGTGTTTCTTACCTTAATAATATTGAGCTTCCGCATTATGGTTTGTATTTCGTAAGTTAACAATTACTATATGTTGGGGTTTGTATTACTTGGTTCATCCACCTAGGAGGTTTAGTATGGGTACAACTTATGACTCATTTTGAATCGTGACAAACTTGGTATCAGAGTGTTATGCTCAGTGATACTTTCACAAAAAGGCATGTATAGTACAGTCTTGCGGGACAGTATGTGGACTCCTTTACTCTTCTTCGAGAGGCTATATGACTTTAGAAAAACTCTTCTCCATATTTCATTCTTGGTTCTACTAGAACCCAATTGAGATCTAGTTAATAAAATTTGGTATCTGAATTTCTTCATTCTATTTTGCATTTGGTCAGTACTAGAGTAACAGAAGATATTGGTGGCAGCCTACGAGGGAAAAATTCATGCTTATCGAGATATTCAACTTAGTTTTACTTTATTATGAAAGAGAGAGTTCACTACTTTATAAAGGGATGGAGGTCATCTTTGTTGTTTGAAGCTTTATAGGTCGTTATTTCAGCAAAATAATTTTTTTGAAGTGGTTGATTCTATAATGGTGGTTAAGGGGGTGAAGCCAAATGACCTTTCCAAGGTGAAAACATTCAAGAAATATTTGTATGGGACGACTAGATAATGAACTCCATTACCTTTGAAAACACAGTAAAGTTTTCATAATATGTATGGGTTGTTTAGCGAATGATGAAATTAGGTTGCTTCGATTGAGGTTAGAACCTCTACTATGATTTTGTGGATTAATTATTTATTTAAGTCGGTGATGATACGACTACTTCAATAGTATAAATGCTTACTTGGTTAGACTTATGAAGGGTGTTACTTTTGGTATCAACTTAATCTCAGAGAGAATATAAATTGCTTGGGCTAAAGAAAAAACAAATTTGGTTATGTTGTACAACTATTCACTGGGTAGAAATATGTGGGATATATGGGTACAATCTTTTCAATAGGTATGATGTGTTATGGTGATAAATCTAATGGACTTTCATGGTGTGCTTCTAGGGTTGTGTGTAAATGAATACATTGATTGTCAAAGTTCATACTAACTACATAAGGAGTTATTAGTTGTACGACATGTTTAGGTAATGAGATTCGGTGTTGCATTCACATTTGAAAAATCAACTAGGGTGTTACTACAGACGTTTGGGTTAAACACTATATTAAAGAATATGTAATTAGTGAATATTTGGTATAATATTAATGCATTTAGATTTTGAAGTGTATCTTGAGGATTCTAAGGGAGGACTGATAACTTTATCTTAAGCTCCAAAAGAGTTGATTGATAATGGAATGACAAGATTATGGGTAAAGGAAGTCCAAGTGACTATACTTTGGTGAAAGCAATTGAGTATTTTAGTAAGCAAGTGCATATAAAAGTGAGTTAGTCCTTTGTATTTGATTGGTATAACTGGGCTTAACGACTCATATTGACGAAAAGGTTGAATTCGTAGTGCTGACAAGAGGTAAAGCATGATGGTAATAAGAGTTTGCAATTGATTTTGATTGAGATGTAATTATATAATAAGGATTGTTGGTTAAAAATCATACTATTTGGTGAGTAACTTGGTTGTATGGAAAATTTTAGGAGATGTTGGCATAGTGCTCGAATAGAATTTAAAGTAACTGGAGTCATAATGAAAACATATCATAAATAATATGTGGGATATTATGTAGCCATCAAAAAGAGGTATGATTAAGAATATTTTATTTAATTTAAAGGGCTAAGTAGGTATCTTCAGAGGTGTTCAAAATTAGGTTAGAGAGACACGTGGTTTCCACCATTTTGCTCTGGTCATGTCAATAGTGTCATGAGTTAATGAGATTGGTTAAAACGATTGTATAAGATATGAGACAGAAGTCTATAAGTGTTTGATTTGAGTGTGGTAATAAGTGTTTTTGTATTTTGAGTTTGACAACTGACTTTGTTGGATTCACAATCATACTGGTATATTTTATCAAGATAAGAAATGATCGTTCAATTGCGTGTTGAGTATTTGGAAGGATCTATGCATGTTTTTGTTCATAAAGTTTGTTACTTTTGATTTTTAAAGGACACAAGGAAACATTTCACTTAAAAGTTTTTGTTTAGAGTATAAGGTAAAATGTAATGGGTTGTTTGTAAAGGGATGAGATCGGTAAACGAGCGAGAGGAATTAACAAGAGTATGATATATTGAAGGGTCGAGATATTTAGAATTTTGCATAATGAGAAGAATTTGAGAATAGTGAAGAAATAAGACCTCTCGTATAAACCCTTGGGGTGTAGTTCAAGGTTGTATTGATTTTTTGCTATGAGCTAATATATATGACTGTGAGATGTGAACTATTTTTTTACGCACTTATTAGGAGTTTATCATTAAAGAGTTTTAATTTGGGTGATAAATAGTGAGGTATGAAAAATAAAGTGTTTTACATGGAAATTACTATAGATGACTTAAAAATAATGTACACATGGAGATATAATTCAATATGTTTACAAAGAATATAGAGTTAGGTTAATACTGCTCTATTGATGGGACAACATAGTATGTTAAGATATGTTACATAGACATTTGTTTGTGAATAGATCTTATGCACTTATAGTATACATAATAATTAGACTTACTAAGAACTTCCTTAGTGTTGGAATGAGGTATGTGATTGTTTAGAATGATAGCTCAAGCATGGTATGTGTAAGTGGTGTGGAGTTGACTTTGAGTGTGATTTAATAGATTTATCTTGATGTAAAGGTACTATACATTTGAAATCAGTGCTATTAGCCTTGTTTGTGACTTGCATTTGTCATGAAACGCTTAAATAGAAAAAAAGATAGCCATAGTTTTAACATGTATTTTTAAAAGGATACTTTGATACTAATGATGGTTTGGGAGTAAGGTAGATGATCGGATTGGTTATGACGTCTTATTAGTATTAAGAGTATTGAATTTCGTGGATGTGGGGTTCGATAAATCAAGTATATGTGCAATTATAATAGGGACTAAATTGGTGACTGTTGGTAGCTGAAAACTAAAGAGATAGAGTTAATATGAAAGGAGTATATAGAGTTATTCAACCTTGGTTATGTAGCTCTTTAGCTGACCAACTATTTAATTTTGGGCATGGTTTAGAGTATGATTCACTTTCTACGTCTGTGTGTTTTCGCTGCAATTGGTAAATTCCTAGTAATGGATCGGATGTACCAATCCTCTTATGTCCTCTTGAGAGGGTAGGCTCCTAGGACAAAATTGGTCATTTCAGTTGTGATATATTTGGTGTTTTTTGGGATAGTTGAAGTTTATCAGTTGTTATGCATGCACAACGCTGCTTAATATAACTTATAGAAGGGCTATGATGAGTTACGATTGTCTAGAGTGTTGTCAGAGGTCTTGCATTTTGAAATGTATCACTTGTTGGGTGCTCAATCATTTTGTTCTTTAGGTTAGATAAGTTTCATTTTCCATTGATAAGTACTTGATCCTAAAGATCAAGCATTTATTAGTTAAGCTCGTAGAGAGTTTATATTGTGAGCAGGAAATTTTGATAAAATCTATGATGATTTATGCATTATGAGTGTGTATATTGGTTTGTGCAGGTTCACTTTTTTCTAAGTGTAGCGAACATTAATTTAGTATTTTTTATCATTGTTATGTGAAAAAATGTTTGTCTTGACGATTGTGTCATTGTCCTCGAAAATATGTTGCAAACGTATGTACAATAAACTTTTGCTTGGTATTGAGAATATTTGTGTTGTTAGTTGAGTTTAATTATAACAATATTTATCATTCGAGTACCGAGATGACCCCATTTGAGGCATTGTATGAGACGATGTGTAGGTTTTCAATTGGTTGGTTTGAGACATTTGAGGTGAGACCTTATTTTGAAGGAACCGTTGAGACGACTACCCTTATTACCCTTGCCTTCTTTTGATTGTTCAAGGACGAATGATGGGTAAATTGGTATCTACTATAACAATCCGTTTGGTCGTTTTGAGTACTAAACCTTTTTATTTCAAAAGACTCTTCCGATAGATTTTAAATGGATATTTTGGACTACTTGTAACTACAATTATAGAATTAGTGGGGTAGTTTTAATAATTAATTTAGTTAGTGATTAATGAACTAAGTCCATAATTTATTTAATTAAATTACCATATGGTCCATGAATAGGAAGAAATTATAGGATTCAGTAGTTATTTAAATATTAATTAGTTGATAAATATTCACCCTAAATAATTAATAGACGAGACAATAGTGTGAAAACATACCTGCAACTTGCGAGACAGCAGTGCCCTCAGGTAAATCTTCAACAACCATAAAATTTTTTCTTTGCATCTTAATTTTTTGCTGGTGGATTTTGTATAATTACCTTATATGGCTAAGAGACATTTTATGGATGAATGAATATTAAAGTTAATATTATATGATGGTGTTGAAAAATTTAAAGTGCAATGTGATTGGAATGTTGTGACCAATTAATGATCAACAACTAAAGTGTTGATTGTGATTATTAATCAAATTTGATTTCTAATATTGTTGAAACGGGTTTTGATTGATGCTAGCGTGCCACTAGTTTTGTGATTGGTGGTTAGCATTTTATTTCTTAGTTTACTATTCTTTGCTAACATATTATGAACCTATGTTTTGATAATGTTGAAATAGCTAAGTAAATATCAGGTATATTATATAATATGAAAATCATTAGATTAAGTTACTTGAAGGAATATAAACTTTGCCTTACATTTGAAATTTGAGACTAATGAAACTTGATAAATTAGTTGGTATTAGAGTTAAGGAATTTGAATATTTATTTGGGTGAGATTTTGGGTAGACTAGACATATAGTAATATGGTTGCCAATGGACTCGTTAACTTACAGATATCATACATTTGATACATAAATATTCAGGGGCATTCAAGAAAGGAAGAACATTGGAGAAGTAGTTTGCTTCATTTCAGTTCATTGGTGGAGGTAAGTTATCGTTTATTCTATTTCATTGATAGTCTCTTAATAGTGATTGATATGCATTGAGTGATATTGTGAAGATCTCCATGTACTTTAGTGTGTGGTTTGATTGTGCGGCTTGTGATTGGTTCAAATCCCGAGACAGTGAAATTTATAATCTTGAACCCTCTCTATTGAAGTGATGCCTTGAATATAGAAAGCTTGAACGAGACATTGTTAAGGAAGTGGAAAGATATGATAAGAATGAAAAATGAATTAACTATATGGTTGTATCGGGGTGTCACATTCCAACACGATATTATTGGATCAGGGTATAACATTCTGACACAATATTATTGATCGAGGTCTCACTTTTTGACACAATATTAATGGATCAGGGTGTCACATTTTGGCACGGTAACTATTACAACGCTCAAAATGAATTAGGTTAAATTAGATTCTTTTTTATTTTTATGAGTTAATAAAGTGTTAAAATAATGAATAATAGCTTTAAAGGCCAGTTCATATATAGAGTTTGGAAGTCAAACGTCAAAGAACAACCAAGACGTTCGGAAGTCAGCCTTTGTGTGTGCTAGTGTGACTTTGCATATTTTATGTTGTTTTGGTGTCTGAAATGACAGGAGAGGAATTTAACACCTAGATGAGTATAATTAGGGTCAAAACGTCTGGGTAAACTCCCCAAGGACCACCATAAGGGTCCTTGAGGAGGACCCAAACATTTGCCCCAAAGCTGCCAAAATTGTCCAAACACGCCCCCTCCCCCCATCGACACACAATAGGTAAAACGATGCCATGTCTTTTAGGGGCGTGGATCCACACTTATTTGTGATATATTAGCCCCCAAACTTTGAGCCTATGATCCAAAAGACACTACAGTAGGACATCCCGTCGATCAAATGACGGCTAGTAGTTTGGCGACCGTCGTTTGGACCTGCAATTTTCCTACAGGTCTCGGCCAAAGTGAGGGTGATTAGGTAAATTCACCTGATGTATTAATTAAGTATTATATGGTTATTTAGGGTCATTTTTTGGTATTTTAAGTTAGTTTAGGCTCTACAATTTAGACTTAACCTCATTATTTAAAATCAAACCCCAAGATCAAAAGGAGTTTTCTCCAAAACCTCCATTAGAGCTTGAAGTCGAGTTGAATCTAGGTTTGAAGTTCTTCATTGATTTCTACATCAATTTCATTGGATTTCTTCAATTAAGGTATGATGATTTCATCCTTGATTCTTCTCTCATTCAAGGAAATTCCAACGATTTTTCAAAGATATTCAAAAACCTTGAAATTCTAGTTTGAATTCTAAGCATGGGTTCTTGCACGAAAAGGTTTAAATGAATGTTCTATGAAGTAGTTTATGGTTTTAAGATAAAAATTTCCATGAACCGATGCATTCCTTTAATTCCTAATTTTGGCTCTAAACTAGGTGAATTGATCATGCCTTAATCTGATTGAATTCTTTATTTGATTGTATTGGGCTAATGAATTATGTATTGATTATTGTAGAATATTTCATAGCTTCCTTTTTAATGTTGATATTTATTTTAGTATTGTTGGATAATTGATATGGAAGGATTGTTTGCTTATTCTTGTGTATATTATCATTGGTAAGAATCTCTTATTGTGTGGATTGGTTGGAAAGGATAAGGAATGGTGATGATAGCTGAGGAAAAGTGGTGAGTTGACCTAATTTCTTTGTATAATATAGAATTGATATTTAATTGTCATTGATTTTTATGGTTCACTTATGGCGATGAAGTTTAATTGTTATAATCATTATGAACATGGCCTTGTCGGCATTACTATGTGAAATATGGCATGATCATGATATGGTATATGTGAAGGTATGAAGTGAAGGTGATTATGTATTGTGTACATGATCTTATATGGGTGATATAGTTATATGATTGAATGTACTTCCTCTCTAGTTGTTGATATATGGTGAAGAAGGACTAGGGAAAGCCTTTATAGAATGATGTCGTATCTTGATTGGTAGAGTTAGGTCCTTCTTCTTGATACAAGAGAGCTTATAAATTATGAACTCTTGGATTCGGAAGACTTATGTTCCTTCTCCTTGATGTATGAAAGTTATGTTAATGTGATCTCTTGACTTGGTAGGCTTAGGCACCCTTGTAATGTTTGTGCATGAATGAATGAAATAATAAAAGAAAGAAATGCTAGGATCGGTATAGTAGGTGCCCTTCTATGAAAGAGTTATATGGAACGTTGAATTTCAAAAGAAGGTTATGAATGTGAACCTTGAATATGAAAAGAAGGTTAATAGAATCCTTGAAGTGGAAGACCATAATGGTGCCCTTCTTGAACATAATGATGGACTTAGGGTTAGGTTAGATGAAATGGCATGAAACCATGTCTAAGAAAGTCATAAGAGTATTATGAGTTGGTCGGACTTAGTTATGGTAACTTCCCTAATACACCTAGGGAATGAATTACTCTATGAGCAAAGGCCGAGCATCAAGTAAATATTCTTATCGTACTAGCTCTACTTTAGATGAGACTTGTGTACAAAGAAGCTCTTGATATCCCTTAAACATATGCCAACATGGGATGCGTCCTAGTTCTACCTTTGGAAATAAAACACCTTCCACGGTGTGGGGTCCTTATAATACTGGATTCCATGCCAAGCTAGTATGGTCTATATCAGTTAATGCCTATTATCATTAGGTGAGATATATAAAACTATCCATTGATAAGTTCTACAACGTGTAGGTAATGGAATGGGATGGCATATACGCATGGAACAAGTAGGCCTTGAAGATGCTAGGATGAGTTCCCTAGGCCTTCCAAGACCATTATGTGATTGTTTAGTTGTATCTTAAATGGTTTCAATGAATAATGTTAACTTAATAAAGAATGTTGAATAGAAAGGGTCTTATATAGGGTAACTTTGAGGATTACTTAGGTAGGCTTGGAGAGGGTGTATCGGTGGTCTCTTCATGTCTTACTTAGGTGAGTCTTAGAGTAACCTTGGGTAGGGTGTTTAAATGCTTAAATGGGTTCTAAATGATTATGGTATTAACTTGTGAATTATGTGAACCTGTCTTATATAGGAATATTGACTTGGAGATGTCTATTATACTTGTTTTATGAGTTTTCTATCAAAATAGCATGAATATATCTTAAAGTAAATTTCCGTTTTTGTATGTTTTTCTTGCATGTTCACCATACTTAGTGAATTCAATGTGCTAATTCCATATGTTTATCTATTTATACAAGTGTAGGTGGCAAGTGAGGATTCTCCTACAAATTCAAGCTTGGGAAATAACATTCTCTCAACAAGTTTGGTATGTCTTCATATGTTCGAGGACATGGCTTATGTTTTGACTATTGTTTTGAAAAGTTTTAAAACTTCACATCTTTTCATATATATATATATATATATATATATATATATACGTATGCGATGAAAGATGTATACGGGCTTGTATAAGATCTTCGATAGGTCGAATATGCTGTATAAATTCTAGGGTACACCCTTGGGTCATTACACTAACATTAAAGGAAAGCATATTGAATTAATTTAAAGTACTAAATCTTAAAAAGATCATTTCCCAAATGAGCATGGTGTGGAGGCATTAGTCCTCGTGTGTATTCTTAATATTGTAACAAATTACGTAATTGCTTCAGTGCTATGATCACTTATTTCTGTTTTTATTATTTATTGCCACCTGCTAATGTGTTATAGATGATTTTATATTATTACTTTTTGCATATTGATTTTTTTGAGTCGGCCAATTATATCTACTTGGTACATGTTTCCCTATACTAAGCCCTATCTGTGTCTTTCTTTGTTTTCCTTTTGTAGAGTGCAGTGAGTGTGTAAGACCCTGAAAATGAATTAATGGTCTTAGAGCCTCACATTTGTCTAAAAAGGTTCAAAATACATTCATTACGTGTTTTATAGTATTTATATTTGATTTGAGGTGATTTGAAATTCAAACATCAAGGGACGACCAAGATGTTCGTTGACTAGTGACCAAAGGTCTGTAAGTGTTTTTATGTGCATATGTGTGTGTCATGGGTTGATGAGGTCCGTATATGAGTTAATGATTTTTATAGGCAGTGTCTTATGTTTCATGAAGTTTGGAGGTCAAATGTTCAAGAACGTCCAAGACGTTTGAAAATTATCCCTTTAGACGTGCTAGTATGTTCTTGTATGTATGCCTTTTTAATGTGTTGTTTAGAGTTGAAATTCATTAGGGTTGACCGTATCATCTTAATAGACATGTTAAGTGTAAGATCCTAAAAATGACTTAGGTTAACTAGAGTCTAACATGGTTGTCAGGATGGTATAAGGTCCTAATTTGGTCTATAATATGGTATTGAGTCAATGTATAAGAGTTTAGGTGATTTGGAAGTGAAACGTCAAGGGACGACTAAGACGTTTGATGACTAAGTCACCTTTGTACCTCATATGTGGTTTTATATGTTTATGTATGATTCATGAGGTTATAAGGTCTTTAAATGAGTTATTATAGTGTATATAGGCAGTGTGTCAATTTTGTGAAGTTTGGAGGTCAAATATCCAAGAACGTCCATGAAGTTCGAAAGGTTTGCCTTGAAACGATCTTGTGTATCTAGGCATGTTTTGTCGAGTTTTACGTGTTCGTTTTGTATGAAATTCATGTGATAGGTCCTAAACTCGTATACGAGCATGTTTGGGTTAGAAACATTTGGGCAAACATCCCCAAGGACCATCTAAGGGTCCTTGAGGAAGGACCCTTCAAGAGTGCCCAAGACTGTCCAAGACAACCCAAACCACAAAGGCATTCGATGCTCTGTTGGTAGGGTCTCATCATTTGGGACTTATTCGTGGAAGAGGAGGGAGCAAATACAAACCTCAGTCTCAGACCACGGACCAGCAGGACGGTCCGTTGGTCAAAGGAATGGCCGTGGATGGCCCTGCGTGCAGTTCACTGTAAGTTGAGGGGTGAGCTTTTAAATTAACCCCACGTCCAAATGAGGGTATTGGGGATTACTTAAGGGTCTTTTAGGAATTTTAAGTGTGTTTATAATCCAAAAACACTAAGAAGATTTCATTCTTCAAAAATCAAAACCGAAATCCCTTAGAAATCTCTCTAGAACTCCATTGGAGCAAAAACTCAAGGAAGGGCTTGGACTGGAGAATTAAGTGGATATTCTTCATAAAATCAAATAATTAGCTTCATTGATTTATTGTTTTTTATCCTTGAAACTCTCCTCATCAAGGAGCCCAACTTTCAAAGATATTTTCTAAAGTTTTCAAATATGAATTGTCAAATTTCATGATCTATACATGGGTTCTTGAATTAATAGTTTTAAAGCATTGATTATGGATTGAATTGTTATTAATTAGATTATTTTAACTCAATTAACCTGCAAAAGCTAGTTTTAGACTAATATTGATCTAATTTTTATGAATTCTAGTGTAGTTTTCTATGTGCGATTAATTTAGGTAATAATTATAGTAAGTTGATATATAGGTTGCATTAAATTGATGAATATGTAGTAAAATTACCTAGTTTTATGAATATTGTTATAATTATATTGATTTGTTGGTTATGGCCATGGGTAAAAGCCTTATGATATTGAATTGAGTGATTTGACATTGGACTGAGGTATTGAGGATGAATGGTGGTACGCTGCCCAATTTACTTTATTTTATGATTATTAGACTTCAATTATGTTGTGTTGGTATGTTCCACTTATGGTGGCAGTGTTATCTTCTTTACTTGCAATTGATGTGGCCTTATCAGCGTTACTTTAAGTAATATATTGATTATGGCCTTGTCGACAACTATTTGAAGTAATGTCGTTATTTACGTAGTTGATTATGTGAAGTATAATAATATCTACCTACATGATGATTAATGTGAAAGTATACGTGTTCTTCTATTGATGTTATTTAGGTGATCATGTTAGACTATGACTATGGCTTTGTGTGTATAGTGTTAGGGTTGATGTATGTTATTCCTACTTGACTATATGAGTTTATGATGGTTATATTGATGATGAAATGGTAGTGTATAGGATGAATTGAAGATGATAATGGTTATTTCTATTTGCTTCTACAATGACATGTAATATGAGTTAAAGTGAAGTATGTGGTGTCTTGTCTTGGTTGACTTGTGTCCCCTTACTTGATGCATGTATGAATGTGAATATGACATGTCTTGAATTAGGATGCTAAATTCTCTTAGTGTTGTATGTATGAATGAGATTAGACTTTAAATGATGTTAAGAGGGTCCTTCTGTAAAACCTTAAACCTAGTGGTAAGGTTATGAATGTTGAAGTTGAAAGTCGTAATGGTACCTTCAAGTAAAGGAATAATAGAATTAAGGTTGATTGGCTAGAACGACATCATATCAACCCTTAGGAAAGTCATTATGAGCTTCTTGTAGCCGTAGTGAGGTAGCCCTAGTGGTCCATTCTTTGGTAGGGTAAATGTGACTTGGTTATGAAATTGATATGGAACCACGTTATATGAAGCTTAAGTGTAAATTACTCTATGAGAACAAAGGCTAGCACCGAGTGAGTATGGTAAGGGAAGTAGTTCTAGTTAATGAATGAGACTAGATTACAAAGCACACCCTTTATATTCCTTAACCATGTGCCTACATGGGATGTGTCTAAGTTCTACCATTGGCAAGTAGGACACCTTCATCGGAGTAGGTTAGAACTTCGGATTCCATGTCTTTCTATCATGGTATATGTCTGTTATTGCCTATTCTAATCATATGGAATACCTATTAGCATTAGAGAAGTTCTATGAAGTTTAGGTGGTGGTATGGGTCGCTATCTAGACATTGCACAATTGGCTTTGAAGGTGTTAGTTTGAGTTCCTAGGTCTTGTCCAAGACAATTACATAGATGTCCTTTTATGTGTTGAATGTCTCCTAAATGAACTAGTAAAATTAATGACTTATGTTAATAAAGTATTTTAAATGAATAAGTACTTATCTAGAGTAGTTTAGGGTTGTCTAGTGAAGTGTGAAGGGGGCATAGGAATGGTCACTTCGTATCTTAACTAGATGAGTCTTAATAATGAATCTACTTAAGGAAAATGGTTTAATATGTAGACATGATCTAAACTTAGGTAGTATTAAGGATTATTTAGGTAGACTTGAAGAGGTCAATCATTGACGTTATCTTCTTGATTTACTTAAGTAAGTCTTTTGATAGACTTTGGAAAGAGAATGTCATATTACCTATATATTGATGTGTTAAGTGAGAATTATTCTATCATAGGTTTACTATATGATATATTAAGTGTGTGTGTAAGGGATTGCGTGGGAGGTCGCTTGACAACTCACTCAAGTGAGACTTAGAATCACCATTGGTAGAGGAAATCTCATGTTCATATGTTTGATGTGTTGTAAGTGTGTATATGTCTTGTTATAAGTAGTCTTGAGGGTTATTTAGGCATGTTAAGGGAGGTTGTATGTGTTGTCTCTCTTTGTGTTTCTTAAGTGAGTCTTAGGATAGCTTTTATTGAGAAGACTACATGCTAGAAAATGTTAAAAGGAATAAGAAAGCACTTTATTGTAACAGTGAAGCAATTCACTGTACAGTGAATATATCTTACTGTAAGGATGCTCCAAAAATGTGATTAGTCGCTTAAATGTTATCTTATGTGTTTCTAAGTTGTTAAATGTTGTTGTTATAATTACGATATGATTTTTAAATGAAAAGATTCATATTTCCAATAAATGTCCGTTTCAATTATTTTCATACATTATGCCATACTTAGTACATGTAGTTGTACTAATCCACGTTTTTACCTACTCTATAGTTGTTGGTAGGTGAGAAGCATTTGGCAAGCAAGACTTGGATCGTAGCATCATTCAAGTGAAGTTGAAGTATGTCCTCAATTTACTCGAGAGCATATATATATGTCTTTAATGCTTACTTTTCAAAGTATTGCCATAGACTAAGTATTTCTATATTCTTATTGTGTATGGGCCGTGTACCAAAAGTATTCTCATGTATTAAGTTTCATGAGATTGAGACTTAGTATTTCCTATGACTTTATATGAAAGAATTTTTAAAGATTATGAAATGTTTTTTTTGAAAAGATTTAATTTCGAACTACTTTTCATTATGTATATACGAGGAATGATATGAAGGGCTTGTACGAGACTTCCAAGAGGTCAAGTACGCCGATTGCAATGTGAGATTGGCCCTAACTTATAATTTGTTGTTTTGGGTTGTGACATTAAGGTTTAGACGTACAGGTACGACTCCCCGAGGACCACCCTAAGGGCCCTCGAGGAGGACCCATATGTTGGACAAAGAGACTGCCCAAGGCAGCGTGCAGCAGCAAGAATGGGACCTTACCCTCGTGACGCACGCCTAGCACAAGGCTTACTGCCTCAAATATTTGTTGGGGCAGAATCAGGGGCTGCCTCCATGATGCGCAGCCACTTCCTAGATCCGGTTGCCTCATTTTTAAGTCAAATTTTACATGTCTGAAAGTTCCAACAAGCATGGGGATGTTTTGGTAAATTAGGGAAAAGGTTATAAACTGTTTTTTATGACTAATTTAACCCCGTTTTCAAGCCAAAACCCCAACACCCAATAAGAAAATCAAAAATCCCAAATCTCTCATCTTCTCTAAATTCTCTCAAACCTCCATTGGAGGGAAAACTCAAGTTCAAGCTACATGTTGGATTTTCATGGTTTCTTCTACTATTTCATGTAGGCTTCTCATGTGGAAAGGTATGGTTATCCTTTATCTCTAAATAACCATTCATTTAGAGAGTTCCTTACAAGTTTTCTAAGAGAATTCATTATCAAAAATCATATCTTCCAATCTAGCCATGGGTTCTTTCTCAAAACATTTTCAAAGGCTTTCTCATGATTAATTGATGCTAATTTAATGATTTTAAAGTGAATTTCAATCCAATTACATGATAAACCCATGTTCTCTCCAATTCTCAAATTACCCTATGTTAAGGGAATTGTGATTTTGAGTATATGTTTATTGATTTGTGATTCTAGCATGGTTAATTGCTTATATCTATTGCCTATAATGTAGATTGATGGTAAATTGTTGATGAGTGATCCATATGGATCAAGGTTTGATAGTTTGAATAAGTTTAGCCTATGTTCCTTTATATTCCATGGATTCCTAATGTAGCATGCTTACTGTGATCTCGATTCTATGGCAATTGTAGTAGGATTTCATTTAGGTTATGATCTCTTTAGCTACTGGCTTATATTGTATTTCATTAATTAGGAATTGTGATTATTGAGGATAAAATCATGGGGTATTGGTGAGTGATCTATGCCTCCCTACTTGCTAATAAATTGGTGAAGTAGTGTATTTATTTGTAGTATGATCTTGTGGTAGTTTATGCATCAGTCTGTATGTGTTAATGTTCATTTAGATATTGCACTATATAGATAATATTGATGACATATCAATATTGGTCAATGATGATCAAATATAATGGATTGGTAAGAATGTCTCTACTTCTCTACTTTTCTATAGTATTGTTAGTTAATGTGTCCTTGGATGGCATTGTACGGTATGGTCCACTTATGGTGGCAGTATCTACTTTATTGTCAGTATATATGCGATGTGATGATGGCCTTGAAGGCAATTGTATTATGAATGTGAGGTGGTGATGATCACGTAATATAAAGTCTCATGCATAATCTTCTATTTTAATTGTGATCTTGGTTGTACGGCTATTGTATAAGCATGTATATAGCTATGCTAGGGATAGGTTTAGGTGCTTCCATTGATGATTTGGTGATGGTTGATGTCCCCTTACCTACATACCCCTACATGAGTGTGTGATTAGCTATGGTTAGGAGTCTTGAATGCAAGTATTGAAGTCAGCTTGTGTCTTATGCAATTATGTGTTGTGTTGTCTATGCTTGGAGGTGAATTGTGGTCCTAAGAGGGTGGATGCCTCAATATGTTGTTGATAGAAATTAGGTTATCATGTTGACCAATGTACACACACTCACACCTCATTTATGCTTATAAGGTAGTATAGATTCATGGTGTCTAATGAAAGATATTTTCATATGGACTTGTGTCCACTGCTATGCATGTAATGTATATGTTCATGAAGGATGATTATGTATCCCTTAACTCGGATGTCTTGATAGGGGTACTAGTATAATAATGGGTATGTGACCTTGTTTATGCATTGCACATGTATACCTTGATAGAATAGTTCCTAGGTTTGGTTTTCTATGTACATGAATGTGAATGCATGATTATGTTAATGTATGACATGTGTAGTCTTAATATGTTATGTGAAAGGTTTGCTCACATATATGTATACACACACACATGTATGATGATCTAGTCAATGGAGGGGCCTTGGAAGGTGTTCCCAAGAGTACCCTAAAGTAGATGGTGCTTGAATATGCTATGTCCGTATTAAAGGGGTTCTCACTCGACTTTGGTTGATGAACTGTCATCTATGACCTATAATCTAAGCATATGAGGGGTTAACTATCCTAAGCCTAATTTTATGTAGTAAAGTTAATAAAGGCTTTTCAATAAAGGGAACTTAGCTTAGCATCGAGTGAACTTGACAATGAAAGGTGTTGGCTTCCCATGGAGGAAGATTCATATGAGGTGTTGACTACCCTATGAGAGAAACTCACCCTATACATTCTAATGAGATGAGGGATAAAATGCCAATTGGCATGTAAAGGGTTCAATACCATATCTCTTAGTTCCATAAACTATGCTTGCCAACATATGATCTAGCAAGTGATATCACTTAGTATGCTAGCATGATGATTAATGTTCTACTTTGGCTAAGTGGAGCACCTTCCTTTGGTGTAAGGTTCTACAACACAAAATTCCAGTTTGGAACCCATGGTCTTAGTGTCGGTTAACACTATAGTTTCTCTAAAGTAAAATAGACAATGGAAGTAAAGTAAGGACCCTAACTAGGATAACCTAAGGGAAATTGCTTATTGTTGGTGGGGGTATGAGACTTCACTATGCATTGCATAAGTAGCTCTTGAAGGGAGTTCTAGGATGGTGTTATAATGTCTATGATTATATTTATATTCCTAGACATGACATTGTAGTGTTGTCTACTTGTTGTGATGATATGTTTGGGTGGAGTTCTAATGAGTTTATTTGATGTGGTCTTACCTTATGCGTATAGCATAGGTCTTATTGACTATATGATGAAGTTTTACTTGACATGAATGAGGTTGTCTATGCTAGTCTTGTTGATGTATGAAAGGCATGTTAAGGCTTGTAGTCTTGTAGGTTTACTTAGTATGTGTGAGGTTATGGGACTTCACATGTACATTGCACAAGTAGACTTTAGAAGGGATTATCAGAAGGGTTCTACCTGGTTCTTATGAGGTGAAGTCCAAGTATGCTAATGTGAATATTGGCTTTCTATGATTATGTTGGAAGTCTTGACTTGTATATGGTCTTGTAATGAGTCCATCTATTTGGTCCCTAAAGTATGTTGGGTCAAATTTGAGTAAGGTATCTTATTTTATGAAATATTTCTATGAATAATTGTGTTGGGTTAATAAAGGTTGTATGCATGATTCCCTAGTGGCCTATATTGATGGTTGAGTGTGTATAGTGTTATGGGACATTGTCTATACATTGCACCAAACATCACTAGAGGGTTACTTCAAAATATAAAGAGTTGACATTGTCTATACATTGCACCAAACATCACTAGAGGGTTACTTCAGAATATAAAGAGTTAAAGTACAAGAAAAGAATTCAGTACAAAAACTAAAATAAGCTCACTGTAATTGTAAATGTGCTTACTGTGAAGTGACGACTTATATTCCTTAAATGCAATGTGTTGTTTTATATTATGTGGACCATTGCATATGCCAATATGAATTATGTGAATTGTATAATGCTTATTATATCAAAGTGTTATGAAGTTTTCACAAAAAGACATGAAGCATGGTCTCAAGTAAAATGTCCCTTTTAAATTCATGTTTTTGCATGGTTGCCATACTTAGTGCATCCTTGTACTAACTCCTTTCTTCTCTACTTTTACACAAACTATAGGTTATGGATGCTTAAAGGAGGTCTCTAAGGTGAAGAACTTGATGTTTGATTCCCAAGCTCAATGAAAGAAATTCTTATGTTCCAAAGATTTCCTATGTCAAGTTTATATTCAATATGGTGTAATAGCTTATATGTTATGTTGTGTTTCTAGCATATGATATACTATGAAGAGTTTTAAATTTTTCCCTAAATTTATTATGACAATGCCATGAATTGTAACTATGGGCTTGTATAAGACCTCCGAGAGGTAAAGTACGACATGTTACTTCTAGGGCGTGCTCCACGGTCGTAACAGAGTGTATCAACAATTTTGACTTGCCCTTAGCTGTAGCTAGTCCCTAGCATATCAGGGTGAGATATTAATTCGAGCTCGTGTTGGATTCTCTCAGTCATGGCATGAAGTCTTTAGTTCATACATACACTGCTTTATTCTTTTATTATGAAGTTTTTGATACTCTTAGACTTAGTATTTGGAGATTAGATGTCCTTGATGTGATAACATTCAGATTTTAGGAATGACATATAGTACATGTTAATGGATTTGTGTTAAAAATTAAGCTTCCGCATTATGGCTTGTATTTTGTAAGTTCCTAATTTATATATGATGGGGTTTAGATTACTTTGTTCGCCCATTTAGGAGGTTAATTATGGTGTCACTCATGACTCTTTTTGGGTGGTGACAGTGTAACGACACGATTTTGGTCGTTAGAGAAAAATCAATGAAGAAAGAATTGGGGCCAGAAAACTCTTTCGTATTTACTTGGAATTTCCCAACTTAGTCCAGATTTTGAGAAAATTGGAGTGATTAAAGTGTAGGGAAAATATGATAATGAATTAGATATCTAATTATGGATTTGATCACATGAGTGGATATCTAAGACGATAACGAATCCGTACAACTTTATGAAATTAAATTTTGGCAAGTAGAACTTCTGAAAGATGATCTTAGCATGAACATGTACATTCTATCTCCGTTAAGGCCTTTGGGGTGGAATTTGGTCTCTAAAGCGGGGCCATATTTGTCAGATGGGTTCATTGTGGTAGGATATACATGACTTAAAGTCGTTCATAAGCCCCTTAAACAACCTTATTTGAAACTTTTTTTTTAATTTTTAGAGCTAAGGAGGCGACCCAGATGAGTTCTTAATAGCTTTTCACCATTCTTGAGGCTAAAGGTAAGTTACTCTCTAAATGTATTATCAAATTGTAGAACCCATTTTCTTGTGTTATTATCGATGAGGAAGGGTTTTGATTTGATGATTATGATCTAAAAATCCCTAAATTGGGTATTAGGATATTAGGTTGGTCTAGGGTTATTAGGTTTGTTATAATGTGGATAATTAGACCTTTGACTATTCATCCCTCCGTAAATTAATTGTGTGTAGACATAGAAAAAGAAAAAGGAATCAGAAAGGGGAAGATTCTAGTGTCTTAGGAGATTCGAGCTTGGATTTGAGGCAGGTGATGGTTGTGATTTCAGGTTGGTGTGATAGATGTTTGTCATTGATTTATTATAATACAGGTATGTGTGTGTATGTATATATGTATGTATGCATATATGTATGTATGCGAATGTTTCATTATTGATCACCCGAATTGTAAACGAGGATAATTGAATAATTGTATGCCATGAATCACCTCTTGTTATATGATTGTGAGAATAGACATTGTAATTGTAATTATGTGATGTTAAATTAGCAGGTGTCACGATCCAACACCCTAACTGGAATCGATTTCCATGATCTGGCATAAACATTGGATCAGTTGTCACATTTCGACATAAATATGTGATCGGTTGCCACGTTTCGTCGTAAACATGGGATCTCTTTCCACGTTCCAATAAACTAACTTGGATCGGATAGCATAAACATGTATGCTAACAGTTTTTGTTTGAGTTTCTTTAGAGCACCATTGAATTGGTTTCGGTGAGAGGACCATTGAATTGTGTTGTGTATCTATTTGTGATGGTTAAGTTCATATATTTTGTGGTTAAGGTTGAAAGACTATTTGTTGCTCTAAAATAATATAACAATATATTATTGAGAACTGTGAAACTGTTCGTTGTGAATGATGATGATATTTTACATGTTTGGTATATGTCTCTTTTATAATGTTGTGGTTACTTTCATGTGTTTCACTTAGTGGGATAGACACGTGATATACTAGTACACGATGATTGTAGTGATACAACACTTGCTCTTATTTAGTTGAGTACAGGGCATCTTCCAACGGCTATTGAAAGATCTCATTTAGAAGATCAATGACCGGTTAGAATTCAAGAGTGATCTAGTTGTTCTTGGCTGCCTTGAGTTCTTTTTGATTAAGTCAAATCTTTTCGAACATAGACTATTTCTTTAAGGTGTTGTTTACTTTTGGGGTTGTACAACAACAATGAACCATATCCATATACATATTCAAGAGTAAGTCATAATAAAACCATAATCAACATTTCATTTACAGAGTATATTTCATCAATACATTACAAGACCCTACTCATAATCCCAATTCAATTTAACTAGTGAATGTATATGTGAAGCCCCATAACTCCACATAAACTAAGTAAACTAGAAAAGATACCATAAGTATTGCATTTACATCATATAGCATCATAATAAGTATGGTCAACCTCGTACATAATAATTTAGACTAACATCATGTAAGAGCAACATTGTATAGGATCAACATTATGCATTTTATTCGTAAGTACATAAAGAAACAACCCTAGGAATCCCCTCAAGGTCGACTTGTGCAATGCATAAGTAAAGTACCATACCCTTACCTACACTAAGTATACCTCTTAAGTAATCCTAGTTAATATTAATCCTTTCACTTTCATTCATTCATTTTACTTCTCGGAAACTTCATCATAACCGACAAGAGACCATATGAGCTAAACATGGAATTTGGTGTCAACCCTTCACAATGAAAGGAGGGCATCCTATTCTCAAAGGTAGGACATATACATAATAATAGTGTCTAAGTGAATCCACAAGCTAGGATTCCTATGGGGGTACATGGTTAAGAAAACTCTCTTCAAGCTAATTCTCATCGCAGTTTCCACCAAATGAAACATTTGGTGAACCTATCTTCCTCATTGGAAGGTACACCTTTCATTGTCAAGTTACCTCGGTGCTAATCCAAATATTCCCTTTTTAAAGTATATTAGGGTCTTTCTCAACATCAGTTTATATCATAGGTCTTAGGAGTCTAATCCCCTCATATACCATATACATAGCTCTTAGGTTCTATAATGAGAAAGCTCCTTCATCACAACCCAACATTATGTGAGAACATAACATCATAACATAGTAATAGGATGCACGTGAGAATCATCTTAAATCCCCCATAATAATGCACCTATCCTTACCTCACAATTTATTACATTCATATCATGATATCATATTCATATTCTCATTACTTTCCTATCATACTCACATATTCATACTTCAATTGACCAACAACCTTAAGAATGGGCCAACATTAATACAATGAAGTATTTATAACCTTGAAAGTCTTACAAATGGCCTCACCCTCAATTCAATGATTTTTACCCAAAAATTAAATCATCATCAATATCATAGTAAACTATACAAGAATACATTCAATTACATCTCCCTTAATCATAAACCAACCTAAATCACAAATTAGGGTTAGGAAAAGAAGCATATTCATGAGCCTTTATAGAGATTTAGGGCAAAGCTTCAAGGGATTCATCAAGCGACACATAACCATACACAAATCATCAATAATAATTGAAGTAATACTAAACAATTCAATTTAGAAAGTAGACCCACTAAATTATATGAATACAAGCTTTTTGATGAACATTGATATCAAAATTTTGAAGAGTCTCTTAGTGAAAATATTCCCAAGAGTCAATCGCCTCCATACCTTGAGAATCCTTGAATATTGGTGAAGTAAAGTCCTGATTTTGGAGCCCTAGAGAAAACTTGACCTTGTTCTTCAATGGGGTCTTTGGAGTAGTGAGAGAAAATAGAGAGAAGGGGGAGCTATTTGGTGTTTTGGATTGAGGTGTTAGGTTAGTTTAATTTATAAGGATCCTCTAACACCCCTAAAATAACTAATTATAACCTTCACAAATTATTAATTAATCAATTAACTAATTACCTAACCAACCCACTTAAGCCGTGTGGAGGCAATGAGATAGGGCGTCCTCAAAATTGAGCCAAGGATCAATTTTCTAAGTATGGACTCATGACCTACATCGACGGGGCATGAGTCTATTAACGGACTGTCATTTGCTTCATTGAATGCACATTGTGTTTGATAGATTATTAGGTCAAATGTTTGGGTCCTCCTCGAGGTCCCTTACGGTATCCCTCGGTTAGTCGTACCCACACTTTTTAACTTTAAACACTCATTAAGGTGTACCCTAGGACCTTTAACAAAGTTTGACCTTCATACGACTCGTCAAACCCTATACAAAACCTAAAGGCACACTAGATCACTTTCACTCATGTCCAGACGTCGTGGTCGTTTCTTGATGTTTAGGCTCCAATTTAAAGCATTAGACACTAGGTGAGACTCTAGCCTACGTGCTTGGATTTCTGAGGTATAACAATATCCTCCCTTGGTACACATTCGTCCTCGAATGACACTTTAAACATGTTTTTGGAAATTATGACTTGAGACTAGCAGTCCAACCAACCTATGTGACATAAGGATAATTCAATGACAAAGAAGGAAACATTCACTCCCTTCTCAACACCACAAACAACATTTATGATAGAGAAATCATGACAAAGACCAATTATGTATACGTTTCACAATTTCACATTTTTTCTAGGAGGAATATCCTTCTCCTTTTAATATGGCTCAACATATTCAACAATAAGTAACACATATATTTTCTTCAGTTCACACTTGAGAAATTTCACAAAAAATATCACATAACTCAATATGCAAAACATTTAATAAAATATTATCAAGTATGAACACACATAGTTCAAAACATATATGAAACATGGATGTTTCACTTGCATAATGAAGGGAAATCATAGAAATTCGCAACACACTTAAGACCCTCCAAACCAAAACTAGGAGAAGTTACTAACCTCAAACTTGACTAGAAGAGGAAGGAAAAAGATGAGGATATTGGGATTTCATTTAGGCCTCGGCCTCCCAAGTATCATATTGACTAGTTGGTTCTTCCAAAGAACTTTACGGAAGTTACTTCATTATTCCTCGAACTATTCACTTGCCGATCTAAGATCTCAATCCGGACCTATTCAAAGGAAAGGTTGGTATTGACTTCTAAACCTACTAGAGAAAGGATCAACACCAAATCATCTATGCACTTTGTGAGCATT